AGAGACATTTAAAGAAAAGATCATTTAAAGTGTCATTTGAAAGAAGTATGAGTAGAAAGACGATGAGCTTTTTAACAAAAAGCTCAAGGGTTGAGGATGACTTTACTCTGTAGGCAACATTGGAGCTGAGTATTTAAAAATTAAATGGCATTTGCCAGGTGGAGAAGATGAGAGTGTAGGGCAGACAAATAAGAACAACCGAAACACAGGTATAGATGTCTGAAAACACAAGACACATTAAAGGGACAATGAACAGCTGTGACTAGAGCCTAAGATAATTAGATAGGCAAGCAGGTAAGTCAAGGCAAGGTAATTTGGAGCTGACTGGAAAGCAAAGCAATTTTCTCAAGTTCTCAAATTAATAAATTTCAAATTGTAGAACTCGTAATCTTTAGTAATAGGTTCTAATTTTCCCAAGCCCTTAGCTTGTCTACATTAAGTTACATATACATAACAATTAAGTAACAGCAAGTTGATTAAAATCATTCTGTATTATTCTTAGTAAAAAATACTCCTGACTCTCACAATCTAATACTATATATAAAAGTAAAGGCACTATATTCTATGCAATGTATCTTCAAAGATAAAGATATTAGATTTTTGAAGCAATGAAGTGGAATTAGGGAAAAATACAAAAGTGTGGCTGCCAAAGGTATATATCCTCTTATTCTTTTATCATAGGCTTTCTGATTAAGAAAAGGTATATTCCCAAGCTAATTTTCTTATTGCACTCCTTGTCTACTTATCTGTCTCTCCATGAAACAGTCAATTCCAATTTAGTGTTTGGTATATTCACAAAGCTTTAAATAAGATTTGTTGGTTGGGTTGAAATTGCATCCAGTGGCCTACCTACTTACACATACACCTACAGATCTTCTGAAATTTGCCAATTTCTTGCTGTGTTTAAGAGACTGAGCTAAATTCTGTTAAACATGCAAGGAGAAAAAGAATGAGAGAAAGAGAGAAGAAAGAGAAAAAGAGAAAGAGAAAGAAAGGGGAAGGGAGGGTGGGAAGGAGGAAACAAGGAAGGAAGAGAAGGACAGAAGGCAGGCAGGAAGGAAGGACGGTAAGTAGGAAGGTAGGAAAACAAGGAATTGGATGCCTTCTCTCCATTCAAGAGAGTTTGGTTGTTGAGAGCCTATGATAGGATAAATTCATTAATATGTTTTGCCTCAAACAACTGTCCAAAATTCCTTCTTTTTGAAATGTTGTATTGTCAGAGATCAGAATAATTTATTAATCTGGAATCTCAATAATTTTTATGGATCTGGTTTATGATGAAAGAAAATTTTTACTACTTACTAATCTAATTCAAGATCTCTTCTTAAGCCTATTAATATAATTTTCTAATTAAGGAGGACATACTTTAAAGTCCAGGACATTATGGTAAGCATCAAGAGTCTCATCAGTCAATAACAGAAGAAGGAGCTTATTAAAACACAGAAAATATTCAAAAGCATGACTCTTGAAATTCCTCAATATCTAATCATGGCTTCACTCTCATGAAGCTTATAATTTAATATGAAAAGTGGACATACTAAGTAAAATTCAACAGACAGTATATGTCTAGTGGTAAATATGAGATGCCATTAAATACAGGGGAGAGTTGCACCCTCCAGAGGGTTAGTCAAAGAAGAATCCATAGAGGAGGCAAAACTTTCAATGAAGCTCTAAAAGGCATATAGGATTTTGATATAGACATATTTGAGGGAGAGAGAGAGTCTTTGCTGGGATAATAATATCAATAAAAACAATAGCAATAATAATAATAAGTAATAGAAAGAATGTCTTCCGCTACTATCATTTATTGGGTTTGATGATGTTCTGGGCATGGCCCTAAGTGCTTTATGTGAACTGCTTTATTAAATTTTTATAACAGGCCTCTAAGGTAAAGGATGGAAATTGCAGATGTTGAACTTGAATCTTAGTGATTACAAGTGACTCCCCAAAGAAACACTGATGTGAACTAGAGTCTACCCGGTTCCATGCATTATTTAATTAAGCACTAACCTTTTCTGTTCAAGTGAAGAGTATGTTTTCTGAGGAAATGGAATGCACAGCTGGAAATATACTTAGGAGCAGACCCTGGATACCAGTTCATAGTTTGGTTTGTGCACCTCTGTGTGGGTTTCTGGCCTTTTTCCTATAGAAATGGGGACATTCTGGTAGTATTCAATTGAAAAGTTTTATAATTTATTACAATGAAGGGACTATGCCATAGACTGAGCAAATTGAAGGCAGAGCCTAATTAAGAGTGGGCAGAGAGTGGACGGGGGTGGGAGGGGGGAAGAAAATGTAAAAAGGAAGGAAAATGAACTGGGAAAATTTGGACTTAAGGCTCTCCTTAATTCTGAACTCACTTATATTTTTGGGGGAAATATCAGAATTTAAAGTTGCAAAAATTTTTTAAATTCTAAGTTTAGAAATCTATGCTTGTAAAATACACATCTATTTTGCTGGAGTAGGGGATTAATGTAACCCACAGTGCAGGAGAGAAATTATTAACAGGATCCAAAAAAGGGGGGCAGAAAAGAGGCAGAGAAGAGTTTGAGAGGGAAGCACATCAGATAGAGAGGTGGTTTATCTCAGATATTCCATCTGGAAACCAGACACAATAACACAAAGCCATCCCCATATCTATAGATAAGTGAATCCTACTGAAGATAGGTACAAACAGGACTCTAGGCAAGTAGGCCAGGTAAGTGGTAGGCCTTCTCCCAAGGACAGCACTGAAGTGTAGTAAGAAAACAACTTTCACAGCTGCTCAAGAAGCAGCCCAAACTGGTTTTAACCTGTGCTTTGCCGGACCTTGATGAACCTTTGCTGCTAGCCATTCCAAGATTGAAGCTGGGCCACTTGCGTAGGGCTGGAGACAGGTTCAGACTTTGCTGGTAGAGGCAGGAAAGAGCTTACAGAATTTATGCCCATCAGATCCTTGTTGTCTCTAAGCTTAAATACCATTAACTTTTAACTTAAACCAAAATTTTATAATGGTCTGACTCGGATCATAAAATGAGTTCCTGGAGTATTAAACATGAATCTAAAAGCTAGGCTTGACTTCTTGGATACATGTTAAGTTCCTACGTGGTGAGCCCAGATTTCTAGTGGTTTGTAAGGTAGTTTCTATAAAATGGGGTATTGGTGGGTTTTTGGTTTTGTTTTTTTTTAAGGAAATAACGACATGAAAATAAGTCAACTGCTGAGCCGAAGTGTGGCTCTACTTAGAAATATATTCTGTTCGTTTCCAGCCACAGTCCCATTTCTCCTGCACTGAAATCTAATGTTATAAGATAAAATATTTTCTATTAAATTTGATAGGTTTAAGTAAAACTACATGATGTGCTTCCATCAAAGTAAATGAAAATCATTCTTCAAAGTGGAATCAATTTGCAATTGTGACAGATGATGTTTTTCAAATTTAGCTGCAATTCCACAATGGCACTTTGATGTCGTTGAAATAATTGACATAAGAAGCAATTCTCTATTTTAAACTGTGTTCTACTTTCAGTTTGGTTCTCCTAATAGGAACACTCCATGGGGTCCTGGATTCTTACAGTTTTTATTTTGCAAGCTACTTTGCATCATAAACAAAAATCTGCTTTTTGTAAAAGGAATTTCTGATTTTATAATAAAAAATGTTTTCTCGCTTTTTTATACTGGAAAAAAAAAAGTCTGTGCTTCCTTTGAGCAATTAATGTACATTGATGCATACATTATCATTTATATTATATCACATATCTTAGTTGACAAATAGCTCTATTCCAAGCAAACATAGATTGCATTTCATTTTTATTATTTTCCAAAGAAATTTCCTGGAGACTAAAGAGCCAAGCTAAATGCTCAATTTCTTGCAGCATTTCTGGGGAGAATCCAAGCTGAGATCATCTTAAACTTGAAGCAAAGGTGACAGAGAAGAATCGATAGGCTGACATCAAGCTCTATGCCCCCCAGTCTAGACGCATCTCTGTGGAGGCATGGATACCTGAAACCCCACCTACTGAAAACCCCTAGGCAGATGCAGATGTTCTATAGTGATAGCTTTGAAATCTTCATTCTCTGGTTTTTATGGATTTGTGGCAAATTTCCCAGTGGTTCTCAGAAAAATGAGAGAATAGGAACACTGCAGTGAATTTTCCATAAACATAAATATGTTTCTGTTAAAGGACTGCCCTTTAAATAGGAGATTGTCCTCTTCTTAAGCTCCTTCTTTATAAAATAATTATTATTGTTAATAAAGGCTGTTTATTGTTTTTAACATCCTTTCTCGGCAAAATGAAAAGTTGTCAGTCCTGTGTTCGTTCCCACTTGTTTTTCTTTGAAACCATGCTAAATATCAAAAACCTGGAATGGGAATCACTACTGTAGAACATACCAGTGGGAACTTGGGTGAATTTTCTTTCCTCCAGCCCCATGTCTTAAAAACGGACATATACAACTTATTACCTCTTTTTTTTTTTTTAAGTAGGCAAAGTAGCAAGAGTTTTATTAGAAGTCTCTTGCACCTAAGACATTTCTTCAGACAATGAACTTTATATCCTGGTTTCAATAAAATGCCAGGGGACTAGATTACAAAGATCATTGACTACTGAAATATGTATTACAACATAGAACTCAATGTGGTATTAACATACCTGTCATGATTTTATCATTCCTCAATCTGAATCCATTTTACAGTACAGATTAGCTAGCTACCTGCCAAAACTGAGTTTCATATCACTTAGTTATTTGATAAGATGTTTCCAGATTACTCCATCCCTTTGCATAACTTTCAGTGAAAAGATTTAGTATCTAATGCTCATGTCACTGAAAGCTACTATAATTGCCAATGTCTTCCGGTATTCTAGGATTGCTGGAAATAACGAGAAACTGGTAAAGTTGAAAAGTGTCCTATGTGATTTGAAACTATCTTGAGAAAACATGGGGTTTCTGTGAGTCGTGTTCTACGTGAGTTGATGGTACATTTGACATTCTGTTGCTTTCTTTCCCTTTCCCCTTTCCAGTGAAATCAGATGAGTTACAGACAATCAAGAAAGAATTAACCCAGATCAAAACGAAAATTGACTCCTTGCTAGGGCGCCTGGAGAAAATTGAGAAGCAGCAGAAGGCGGAGGCAGGTAAGTGAAAAGGATTTATGGCCAAAGACATGTCATGGTTAAACCGGTGAAACAGTGTCAATCACAGGGACAGCTCAGGGCCAGGGTGACACTCACCGAGTTTAACAGGTTAATACAGACACATGAAGAAAGTGTTTAAGCCAAGAGTTGCAACAAGGCAATCTGAGTTTTTACTCGTTAGAGAACATGAACCCATTTGTCTAAATTTCATATTTTTAAACAAGGAGAAAAGTTTTGATGATAACAAGCATAGTTGTATCATAATTAAAAGTTAATAGCTCACTATCAAGAATCTTTTAAGAAAATAAAATCAATTACTGGAATAATACTGTCAGACTAAAATAATATTCATATTTAAATAAACTAACTGCAGAAATATACCAGATTTCAGAAATGAAGATTAGAAAGCCCAGCCCCTACATTGCTACAACCCTGTAAAACCAGTACCCAGTTTCAGGGTCCTCCACATCAAAAGCATGCCCCTGGCCTCCCCCTGCCAAGTCATTTGATTCTATCTTTTACAACTTAATGCCCCCTCTCCTTTGAATTATTAGCCTTGACGCTGTTTCTCTTCTAATACAATTCTAATGCCCTTGTCATGTGGCTACATATGGTTTTTAAATCATAGACTGTGAGAACTGGGATACAGTTAGAGCTGAGTGAGTACACAGTTTGAAAATCGGGTTCTGCAAGCCTCACATACCTCAGAGGCTCCCTGGAGATAGGATGAGGGTTAGAAGGAGGCCCAGAAGGTAGATGAACTCATGCCTCCTCCAAATCCAGCCCTTGCTCTACCTGTGTATCAATTTTATTATTGGGTTTCAACATAAGACTTCATTTGCTTAAAGAGCTTCACTTTTCAAGGGTGCCTGGGTGTCTCAGTCAATTAAGTGTCCCACTCTTCATCTCAAGTGAAAAAAAAAAAAAAAAGCTTCACTTTTTAAAAAATATAGTTCTGAAAGCCATTGATCAAATCCAGCTTCCTCATTTCACAGATGAAAAAACAAAGGTTCAAGGAGGTAAATTGATTTTTCCATGGTCACTTGACTAGTGAGTGATGGACCTGGGTCTCAAACCACAGTCTCATGAGTGACTCCGGTGCTCTTCCCATTTATAGTTTTAATCTCAGGTCCCACCTAGGACCTGGTCCCAGGATTTCACTGAGGTGAGGCCCCCTGGTTACTCCTTACTAATGAGAATTGGTTGGGATCCTGGGGCTCCTGAGCTACACGGCAAAGAGGAACCTGCCTGTGTGTTCACTGTATCACTGGAGTGAGGACTAGAGCTTTTATCTCCTAGTGATGAGCCATGTAGGACTCAAAAGAAAAGAAAGCAGATGTGAGTTGGTGGCACAGCATAGTGAATGAGAGAAATAAGCTCTGGTTCAGATTCTCATGCACCACTGACTTAGCCTCATTTTTCTCATTTATAAAATAAAGATAGTAATCCTTAACTCACATTGTGAAAAACAAATAAAGTATCATATGTAACTTATACAGCACAATTATGAGCAGGGAATAAAAAGTCAAGAATTGGAGCTGTTTGGTATTGGCAGTAACACAAGCATATACAGTCAAATGAACATTTCCTACTATTTTCACACGACCCATTTTTTTTATTAATTTTTTTTTATTTTTTTATAAACATATAATGTATTTTTATCCCCAGGGGTACAGGTCTGTGAATCACCAGGTTTACACACTTCACAGCACTCACCATAGCACATACCCTCCCCAATGTCCATAACCCCCCCCCCCTGCCCCGGCCCCCCCCCCCCCACCAACCCTCAGTTTGTTTTGTTAGATTAAGAGTCACTTATGGTTTGTCTCCCTCCCAATCCCATCTTCTTTCATTTATTCTTTTCCTACCCCCCAAACCCCCCACATTGCATCTCCACTTCCTCATATCAGGGAGATCATATGATAGTTGTCTTTCTCCATTGACTTATTTCGCTAAGCATAATACCCTCTAGTTCCATCCACGTCGTCGCAAATGGCAAGATTTCGTTTCTTTTGATCACACGAACCATTTTTTAAAAACATGAGCTGTATACCTAGCACATGGATGGCAGCTTCTCACTAACGTGGATGGGAAAGAGTAGATAAAACAATCATTTTATTAAAAATTTCTATTAACATATTTTCTACTGAGAAAAGATATGGGCAAAAGATCGGAGTAGACATTTTTCTAAAGAAGACATACAGAGATGGCCATCAGGGACATGAATAGAAGCTCAGCATCACCAGTCACGAGGGAAATGCAAATCAAAACCACCAGGTAATATCACCTCATGCTTGTCCGAATGGCTAGCATCAAAAAGACAAGAAACAACAAGTGCTGGTGTGGATATGGAAAAAAGGGAACCCTGGGGCACTATTGGTGGGATTGTAACTTTCCACTATGAAAACAGATGGAGGGTCCTCAAAAGATTAAAAATAGAACTACCGTATGATCCAAAAATTGCACTATTGGGTATTTATTTGAAGAAAACAAAAACACTGCCTACCCTTCTTAATACAGAAATTTAGACTTTAGGAAGTTTTTTATATGCTGTCTATGGCACTAATCTAAAGTGTTGCTGTAACTGAAATATCCTGTGATGTCGCCTAAATCAATATTTCCCTTTGAGGAACTTCTGTGAAATTCGTTATTATGTAAAACAACCCTTACAGCAAAGGACTTTGATAACCAATTTGCACTTCAGTTTAAAGGATTATGGAGAACTCATTTAAATATAAATCACCTCAAAGAGAAAAATGTGATCCTTATTCTATCATATACCTTCCAGTTTCCTGCAATGAATAATACCTTTCACATATCTTCTTGGAAGATCATCTATAAATGTAACACCAAAATTCAAAGCTTGCGTTTTCTTTTCATGAAAGGCTGAACCTTATTTTTGTATGTGTTTAAACTTTCCCAGTCATGAGAGAGTTATTTTTAAAATGATAGGCTTAGTCTTTTGATATTTATGTCTTTCTTACTTTAACATGTTAGGAAGAAAATGGAATTATTTAATTTGTAATTTCATTCACTTAGTAATTTTCTCCTGAATAGCCTTTGTATTTATGGAGATAAAATGATTACTTTCTATATTTTCTTTATGAAAAGAAATCAAGGTTGTAAGGAAAGAGTCAAATTAGATTATAGAAAGTGGAGAGAAATAAAATAAAATTCTTAAAAATACTCAATATCTCCTTACTAAATTTAAGAGAGAATTCATTTTAATGCTTATTTGGTTGCTAAGCTAATTATTTTGTAGCTAACTAAGGTCTCTATTTCATTATTACTCTTTTATACATCTCTCATTCCCAATCTCAGTTTTTTGATAATGAAAGTTTCTAGCATAGAGCACTGGCAGGAAAGAGATGGAGGATCACAAACCAAAGACTGAAAACCACACAACAATGGAGATTGTCTAGTATTCAAGCTTCATACTATCTTTTTTTTCTTTTTTGTTTGTAGTGAATTTCTAAGCTATGAGGAATAATTGTAATGAAGTATAATTACTTGACTTGGGATTCTCTATACTTTCAACTGCTTCTAATGGGTATTTGTATGGTGTCCTGTCTCCCTTTTTGAGATTGTAAACTTCCTGAGCATAAGGTCATGTGTTCTCTTCCTTCTCTAACTCCCCAACAACATGTACTATGTACCAGGCACCACCTGGCAAGTCATCTCAACCCCTCAAATGTAAACTAGAGGAATGGATTATGACCTCAAACATACTATCCTAACTTTTGAGTTACAGTTAGCATAATTCTACAATGGATAGTTATTTTTTTCCTTGAATAATTCAATAGACGCAACTTTGGGATATAGGGACTATGTAGATTATTGAAAACAACAAATAACACTTACATCAGTGTAGCCTACAGTTGTGCCTCACTCCTGGATGATTCTTTTAAAAAAGCCACATATAAATGGCCACATAGGAATGGCACAATTTACATGTGGTTTACACAGCAATGTTAAATGACAAAAAAGGGTAAAAGAGGCAAGAAGGAAAACTAGAAACTGGGTATCATACAATAGGCACAATTAATCCACAGGCAACTACATTTTTTTAAAAAAATCAAACTTCAAGCATAAAGTCTCTGATGTGAAAAGGCAAGCAGACATTATGTAATTCAATTTTATTCTCAGTGGTATCCCTGATACACTGCAAGCCTGTCCTGCTTGGAAATTCCAATAATAGCCAATGTCTGACCTCGGCATTAGAGAGGTCACAAACCAGGTCCCATAAGATAAATTCATCCCCAAGATGTTTGGTAAAAGATACAGAATTTTACAAAATAACGTCCAAGATGGGGCACCTGGGTGGCTCAGTCATTAAGTGTCTGCCTTCAGCTCAGGTCGTGATCCCAGGGTCCTGGGATGGAGCTCCACATTGGGCTTCCTGCTCCGTGGGAAGCCTGCTTCTCCCTCTCCCACTCCCCCTGCTTGTGTTCCCTCTCTCTCGCTGGGTCTCTCTCTGTCAAATAAATAAATAAAATCTTTAAAAAAGGGGCAGTGGGGGGCACCTGGGTGGATCAGTAGGTTGAACATTTGCCTTTGGCTCAGGTCATGATCCCAGGGTCCTAGGGTCAAGCCCCACATCGGGCTCCCTGCTCAGCGGGAGGCCTGCTTCTCCCTCTTCCACTGCCCTGCTTGTGAACCCTCTTTCTCTGTGTCTCTCTCTGTCAAACAAATACATAAAATCTTAAAATATATATATATATAACACCAAGAATTATAATATTACAAATAAATAGCAAAATACATAACTGCTTTTGAAAAGTTGGAATCTTTCCATATTGCTGTCATTTTATGCATGGCATACTCTTTTCAGTTTACTAATATTTTTATTTAGCCAGTTCACATATGAATGTGATTTACTAGGTTGGTACCTATTTGCATTTATGTCTCAGATGCCTACGATACGTTCTCCTTATAGGGCACCAAGCCAAAGTTCTTTGTTTTCACTTGGTTTGGTTCCCTGAAGCCAAGATAATGTGTCA